GCTCCGGCCCAGTCGCAGTCCGGCTCCAAGAGCTCGATCCCGTCGTAGGCGAGAAGCATGTTGTGCAGTATGATGCACGTGAAGAAGATGTTGTCGATCCTCTCTTTCTTCCTGTAGAGGAACTGCATCTTGCAGATCCTGAACCGACCCTTGACGACGCCGAAGCAGCACTCCGAGTCCTTGCGGACGCTCTCGAGCTGTCTCTTGAACCCCGACTCGGCCTTGTTTGATGGCGCCCTGATCGGACTCTGGAGCTGCTTCCACTGAGCAAGGATGGGGGCCATGGCGTGTGGGCGGGGAGCGAGGACAAAGTGAATGGGTACGACATTTGAATCAAGCCTGAAGACGCACATGGAGACCGCTGAAGATAACCGCAGACCAGCACATCAACTACCATCACGTCTAACCCCGACGACGACCGTGATATTCCGAAATTTATACAAGGTGGGGTTCAGTCTCCACCACCATCGTCGCGGGGGAAAAGCCAACAGATACACGAACTCGCATACAAGCAGGCAGACAAGCACGTACGAACACTCTTCGGTTGAAGCATTTGGAGAGCATCCAAATTGTCGGTTGTCAAGTACACTGCCGAACCGTTTCACGCAGACGTATTGCGAGGACCGCGCGGACTGCGTCGCCCTTTTGGAGACACATTTGCATAGAATATACAGCGTTTGTCTGTCCATTCACCTAACAAACAATGCACCTGCCCGAGGGAGCNTCATTCACCTACAAAACAATGCACCTGCCCCAGGGAGCAGCCACCAATCTATGGTATATAACGCAAACCTGCCGTATCGTGATATACATAAAACACATNGCATTTGGAGAGCATCCAACTTGTCGGTTGTCAAGTACACTACCGAACCGTTTCACGCAGACGTATTGCGAGGACCGCGCGGACTGCGTCGCCCTTTTGGAGACACATTTGCATAGAATATACAGCGTTTGTCTGTTCATTCACCTACAAAACAATGCACCTGCCCCAGGGAGCAGCCACCAATCTATGGTATATAACGCAAACCTGCCGTATCGTGATATACATAAAACACATCCGAACTTGAACAATAGCAGCCCGTGTGCCGTAGCGCAGCGCGTTGGGGAAGCGTCAAGGGCCAACATCTGTAGTTTTGAAGACACAGCAGTAGCGACCCGCTGTAGTTTCGTCTCGTGTTCCTAAACGCTACGTAATGCCAGTAAACGGAACACCAAACTTGGCGCGCGCCGGGTGCAATCAAAGACAATCCGCACTACAAATTCGGTGGAACACGAGTCCGCTCACGTTGTGATATCCGCCGTCCACGATCAACCATGGCCCTTTCTCTTTGATGTTCCCTCCGTCCTCGCCCTTCAGAGTGTACTCTACGTCCTTGTACCAGCCGTTTCGAATCTCCGTCGCGAACTTGTCGAACTTGACGATGGTCTTGTCGTTCTGGGCGCCGGGGAAGCCCCGCGTACACGACAAAACACGCATGTCGTGGCTGACGGCAACATTGTACACGAGGGTAGCGTAGCCTTCCTTGCCAACGTGCGACGAGCGTTCCGAATAAGGGCACACCTTCCACTGAAGATGCGTCCCATCCATCGATCCCATGGCGCCCGTCATTCCAACCTCGTCATAGGTTTTCATGATCTCCTTCAGCTCGTCTTCGTTCGGCATCCTCACCCATACCGGAAAAAACTCACGCGCGAATCTTTCCGTGAACTTGTGGAACAGTTGGTTCACCGTGGCCTCGCCCATGCCGGTGACCTCCGAGACATCGTCGAACTAGTTTCCTCTGCCCAGTATGCGCAGCACTGCCAAAACCTGACCGAAAAAATCACCAAACAACGGAGGTCAGGGACACGATTCGTGTGCGGAATTCATGTTGCGTCATGACAAGCGTCAACATACATACGTGCAAGGTATGTTCTACGGTGTGTCCTTGGAGCGCATGGAAGTAGCGGCGGTTGAAAATATTCAAATATTCCACGTCCAGTTCAGGAGCAACACTGATAGTTGTAGCAGAGTTGCTGTCCGAGACTGGCAATAGCATTCATGACCACGGGCTCCCATCGATGCTTTGGACTAGAGGGCTAAGGTGAGTAGCAACCACATCAAGCTTGTGTTTCGGAAGGGATAGACTCCAGCTTGGTTTGTCGGGAGAGCAGCTTGCTGTTGAGGCACGCCGATCCTTCCGTGGACGACTTTCGAGAGTTAAGGCCGGCAGTCTCCATACCATAGGAGCACCATAGACGCAAAGGACTGCTTGGAATTTCTGGTGCTTGTAGGTGTGGAAGCGTGTGTGCAATGAGAGCTAACCCTCACCGCCGGCACAAACCCTCCGAGAGGACTGCGTGCGCTCTCTCCTCTCTTTCCAGGGTGTGCCGAGATGCAGGTGCACCGATCATGTGATTGATGCCACCACGACGTGCGCGGGGAATGTAATTGCTCGTTTGTTCATCTACATCTACATAGTCCTGGAGAGCACCACAACATACATTAGGCAAATCCCCACGCCCATCTCTAGGGTGCAGCGCGTGCTAGCTCACCTATATGTCCACAGGGATGCAGCGCCTGGTGCCTCTCCCACCAAGCTCGAATTCGTCCGTCGTGAACCCAGGCCACTTCTCCGCCTTCACTTCGTCTACAAGGGACAGGAAGAAAGGGTAGGGTACGCGGAACCTTCGCCGAAACTGCTTTGCCTCTCTCGTCGACGGGTCCTGCAATAGGTCGGCCTTCTCAAGCATCCTTGCCCAAGGCAGAACGCGGTAGTCCGCTCTCGGCCGAACCGTACGGCGGCGCTTAGGTCGCGGTACTTCGTCGCACCCATCTTCTTCCTCCCAGCTTCTGGTCGCAGCGACGCGACCAGAAGCTGCTGTTGATAATGCAGCGCGGCAAGCGCCAATGAAAGCACGGCCAACACCGCCCTCAACTCTACGAGGCGCACCATAGCAGCAGCACGTCTGCGTGCGCGCGGTGTGCAACTGGCTCTCAGATTCAAAAAAGGCGGGGGGACGCCCTGTTTTTCACGAACCCCCCGGGATTCCTGCTAGGATTTTGTGATGGCCCGAGTTGGAATCCGCCACGGATTCCTGCTCGATTGGGCTGGAATTCCTCTAATTGGAATGTTTCGGGATTCCAACGTCCCCATGATTTAGCCTTTTTTGCCGCCTCCTGGAATTTCCGGGGGTTCGCGGAAAAAGTTTTCATGGGGTCCCGCCAAAAATTCCCCGGATTCTTGCTCCATAACAACTGGTCTAATCTTATTCCTATATATAACAGAAATCGAAATTGCCCTCGGGGGGGTGGTCAATGTGTCCGGAAAAAAAAATCACGTAGACCCTTGGCTTGACCCCAAATTCACGATCATTTAAGGCTTGCAGTTCCGATTTTCCATATTATTTGTCTGCAGAAAGGTCGTAAACACACATTGACGTCTCCTCGTTGCTGTATCACCCTTGCCGCGCTGTGATTCGTTTGTGTGTGTGCCTTCGCGATTGGTGCGCACACATGAACGAAGATTTGGAAGTCGTGCCTTCCAAGAGCCGGTTCTCGAGGAGCCGAAAACAAAGTGCATTGATCTAACTCAGTCACGGTAATGGTGAAATGCGGGCGCTAACTGTACGCCCCGGTGGTGCATATACCAGAGGGTTTGGTGTGCGACGTGCCGACTGCCGCTCTGGGATCATGTAAACAAGTATAAGACCAAGCATTACTAAAGATAGCGGTACAAGTACCCCCCCCCCCCCCCCCCCCC